ACGTTGCCTGTAACCCTTTATACAAGCCTAGCCTTATACTTCTCGATTGAACCGTCCGGTTTCATCTTCCTTTTAAAGACCCACTTGGATCCTAAGGGTTTACTACCCGGAGGAAGATCAATAAGTTCACAAGTGTGATTCTGAAGGATAGAATCCACTTCACTTTTTATAGTCTCTTTTCACATTGGTCCTTTTGTAGAAGTCACGGCTTCTACATACGTTCGAGGCTCGTTCTCTATCAAACAAGATAGAAATTCAGGTTCATTTTCTAATAAACAAGTTAGAGTACTCGGCCCGAATCATAGTCTAACAAGTAAGTTAGAAAATCAAGACCGAATGATTTTTCACCTCTTGCCCGCTTACTGCGTCTTGGCTCGAGCTCGGGTTCTTTCTCAGATTCCCCGCTATCATTATCCATAGTTTCATCAATCGTCCGTTTTGACGTACTTTGTACCTCGTTGGACCAACAAGGAAATATATTTTCAAAGAAATATGCATTCCTTGATTCTATTATCGTGTTCTCATGTACGTCCGGATTATGGGACTCGTGTACTAAGAACCGATAAGCACTACTATTATGTGCATAGCCAATAAATATACAGTCCACCATCATAGGACCTATCTTTATTTTCTTAGGTGTTGGCACCAAAACTTTGGCAAGACACCACCACACTTTCAGGTACTGGTAGGAAGGTTTCCTACCGTTCCACAACTCATAAGGAGTCTTATCGAGCTTCTTGCGGGGTACCTTATTAAAAAGGTAATTACTTGTCAAAATCGCCTCACCCCACGCATCTTGAGGTAGGCCGAACTTATAAGCATCACATTCATCATGTCTTTCAATGTACGATTCTTTCGTTCGGCAACACCGTTCGATTGAGGTGTGTAAGGTGTTGTACGCTCGTGTATGATACCTACACTTGCACAGAAGTCACCAATCGGTGCTTCGTACTCACCGCCTCTATCGCTTCTAACCTTCTTAATTCTCCGATTAAGTTGGTTTTCCACTTCATTCTTATAAAGAACGAATTTATCAATGGCTTCATCTTTCCTTTTAAGCAAATACACATAGCAGTATCGTGTGCTATCATCGATGAATATGATAAAATACTTATTACCACCTGTCGTTTATATCGATCTAAAATCGCACAAATCACTATGGACTAATTCTAGTGGTTCAGTTTCCCTTTCAACCGACTTGAAAGGTACTTTTGTTAGTTTTGTCTCAACACAAATTTCACACTTGTTATTTGTGTTAATTTGAAAGTTAGGAATATGGTCCATGCTAATTAATCTACGTATATAATTAAAATTAACATGACCTAGTCTACCATGCCACAAATTAGAAGACTCAAGTAAGTAAATAGAATTAACTTTGCTTTTATTGATAATAGGAATTACACTGAGCTTAAAAAGCCCATCAGTTACATACCTTTACCAACAAACATCCCTAACTTGGACAAAACTACTTTGTCTGACTCGAATACCATGCGAAAGCCATACTTGTTCAACAGAGAGCCAGACACAAGATTCTTCCTCAGCTCTGGAACATACAGCACGTTGTTCAACGTCAGTACCTTCCCAGAAGTCATCTTCAGAACCACTTTTCCCATGCCTTCTACAGCAGACTGAGCATAATTTCCCATCCACACCTTTTCACCCTCAATGGTCACAAAGGTGTTGAACATCTCTCGGTTGCAACATAAATGCCTGGTTGCACCAGTATCGATAAACCACTCGTGAGGGTTTGAGCCCACGAGGTTCACCTCGGTCACCATAGCCGAAAGGCTAATCTCGACCTCCTTCTGACTGCTCTCTCCAACAACATTGGCTTAAGAACTCTTGTTCTTCTTCCTTAGAGCTTTGCATTCAGACGCTCTGTGGCCAGGCTTGCCACAATTGTAGCATTCACCAAGAAACTTGTTCTTGGTAACACCACCTTTCGGACCTAGCTTTCGCTTGTCCTTCTTGTTCCTCTTGGAGTTTTTACCGCGTTCCACAACGTTGGCCTTAGCGCCATCTATGACAGGAACTTTCCTATCATTCGTCGTTCCCCTCCTCAATCCTGAGTCGCTGGATCAGGTCTTCCAGGTTCATCTCTTTTCGCTTATGCTTAAGGTAGTTCTTGAAGTCCTTTCAACCTAGAGGCAACAAGTGGATCACAGATCCCACTTGGAAGGCTTCACTTAGCACCATGCCCTCGTCACGGATCTCGTCGAAGATTAGTTGCAAATCTTCTACCTGACTTAGCACGGTCTTGGAATCTACCATTTTGAAGTCGAGGAATCGGCCAACCACAAATTTCTTTGCGACGGCATCCTCATTTCTATACTTATGATCCAAGGCTTCCCACAACGCTTTCGATGTACTTATCTTTCGATATACATCATATAGCGTCTCACACAATCCGTTCAAGATGTAGTTTTGGCAAAGAAAGTCAGAATCCTTACAATAGCCAACTGCCATCACGGATTGTGCATCTTGTTCCTTCAACTCAGGAACACTCTCAGACAAGAACCTTGCCAAGCCGAGAGTTGCTAGGTAGAACAACTCTTTTGTTGCCTCCTCTTGAAGTTCAAACCAACACCAGTGAACTTCTCTGGCCTTTCAGCCCATCCGCTCGGTACCGAAGGTACCCGAGTCATGGGAATATATCCCTCGGTGCTCCCACCATCTTGTGAACCAACGTTCACTGGTGGTGCCTGGGAATTCGCAACATTGTTGCCGTTCCCTCCATTGTTGTTCTCAACAAGATTCTCTTCCCCATTGTTAACGATAGGCAGAACGGGGTTCTCCATTTCTTCAAGGAAAATAATCCTATAAAATAAGATTATTATTTTTCTGTAGGAAGCAGGGTAGGAAAGATGGAGAATTTGGCTAGTGTTTGGTGTAGGGTTTTTACCAAGAGTCAAGCGATCACTCTTTCCTTAAAATCTTATTTGCCACATCCCAAAAGTGCTAGGAGCGTTGTGGCCTAGGCTTTCCAGGATAAAACTTGCTACGATTCAATGTTTGAGCACCCAAACAAGGAATCCGGCGAACATGAGCAAGATTATGAACATAGTAAGCTAAAGAAAGAGTAGAAGCAGAGAGTTTTGAGGCTGAAAATAAACTTTCTTGTTGTATGTAAAATTCTATTGCCCAACTCTTTCTTAAATAGGGGTTGAGGAGTTGAATAGCTTTTAATTTAAGCATTTAAGGGCACCCCTACAATTCCTGTAACAGCAACCATTAAAATGAATTTTAATTCAAAATTTAAAATTGAAATTAATTCAAAGAATTAATCCTGTAACAGCTGAATTAAATCCCAACAGTCACAAACAGAAGCTTTAGTTCGGCCATGGCAAGGCCGAACTTTCGGCCATTAGGCCGAAACACCAACTTTAGGCCATGCATTTCTTTCGGCCCAAGGTGAAACTATTTCACCACCAAACAAGAAATAATATAATATAATATTGTTATATTATTTTGCGCCAAGGTGAACCCATTTCACCAAACAAGAAACACTGTATTTCACCAAACAAGAAAGATTGTTTTCGGCCAAGCTGAAACCACCCCCACGGAACTATTGTTTCGGCTAGTTTCATTTCGTGTGGCTGAATTGGAAAATAATACCGATGTTTGGCATAACTTAACCCACAAGACCTGTTAATTTCCAAACGACATTCGTGCTAGTTTCATTTCTTGTGGCTGAATTGAAAAATGATACCGAGGTTTGGGCACACACGAGATGACCTGTCAATTTCCAAACGACATTCGTGCTAGTTTCATTCCTTGTGGAAGAATTGAAAAATGATACCGAGGTTTGGGCGCACACGAGATTAGGCTTGAGCCAAGCCTTTTTTTTATCTCAGTTTGAGATTTGATTTGCACCGCGAGAGAGAACCTTTATGCTATACAATTCAATAAGTCTGAAAAAAAGTTCTTGTATAAATGGTGGGGCAAATCCTCTTCCAAATCAATGTGGGACAAAAGCTCACTTTTTCTCTTCATTTTCCAACTCAAATGGGTCTATTTTGAGAATCAATATTTCATTCACCCCTTATCTGTTTTAAGCGTACAATATATTGATCTCTTCGTCTTACTACGAAGAACCCAAATTTACTTTGAACCACAAAATAACCACTTAACATGTCATTTTATGCTATTTTAAACTATTTTTTCCAACAATTCGGTTGTAAATTTTGTTAAATGCTCCATTTACTCGAATGGGATTAAGTTAGTGAACTACGGAAAGATACCTTCTAGAAAATCTTTGTATAACAAGGTTTGTTTCTAATTTCAGATCTGAATGCTGGAATTAATGTTTAATTTTGTCTAAAATTTTCACCATTCTTCCTTCCTGCTTTAGTTTCATTCTTGGTTGCTTGGTTTCTTTTGAGTTTGGATGACAAATCTTTCCCCGCTCCTTTTGAGTTTGCAAAATTTGCTTCTTTTTCTTTCATCTGTATTAATGCTTACAATCCAGAACGTTGTTGAAGCAAAAGGAAGGAATGCATGTTGATCAAATTCCACAAAAAAAAGCTGAAAGGACACTTTAATCAGATCTAATCTAATGCAGCTGTCCAACAACGAAATGATTTCTTTTTTCTTTTACTTTAATTATTTTCAACCATTAAAAGTGATTGAAAATTTTCCCTCATGAAAATTTTCGAGCACTTGTAAAAAATTAGTCAAAAAATTATGCATCACTCACACCTTCTTCACCCAACTAACTTTTTGTTTGACTACTTCACAATCTTCATGCAGTAATCGAAAATAAAGATAAAAGATTTTACAAATACCCCAAAGTAATTGAAAATGTGATTAAAACTGAAATTTTCTACCAAAACAGCAATTTCTGACTATGTTGTAGTGATCGAAAAATCAAAAATCGAACATTTTCATCAGCAGTGTACTTCCTGATTAGATTAGTCCATCAGGAATGCACACGAATTAGGGAACAGAGATAAAAATGAACGTAGTAATTAATGATTAAACATTTGCCATAGGCGCGAGGATTCTTAGAAAGATATATATATATATTACGTGACACTTTCTTTAGTACGTCAAGCAAAACAAACTAAAACGAAAAAATTATTGCAGGAAAACGTGCGCCAGGCCAACATCACTACATATATAATTATTTTCCATAAAACATGAAGATGCAAGAGCACATGCAGTACTACGTATAGTACGTACAATATGTTCCCAAGCCCTAACCCAAAGAAGCAGAAAGCAAACTGGATGGTCTTGTCACCAGTTGGATGGATCACAGGCCCCTTTCGTTGAGTCTTGCCGCGGCGGCGACTGATGCCGCCACACCACCGGGAGTGCTGCTCATGTCTAAATTGTTCCTTTGCTGCGCACTCGCCACTCCTTCTGCATCCTCCCTTGTTGCGATCTTATCTGCTGGTAACTTTTGTGTAGCATCCTGTAATTATCAAAGATTAAACACTTATCATTAAGTACGACCCAACTTCTTTTCTGTATTACATTTTTGAAAGACCAAAAGTTGAATTTGGCCATTTTTGAGAGACCAGATGTTAGATTTGACCATTTTTTAGAGACTAGATGTTAAACTTGACCTAACTTCTATCAATTTATGGACAACAATTGATAATCGCTAGACTTATACTGCTACCACATCTTCCAGAAAGACCAAATACTGAACTTGACGTTTCAAGTATCTTTCACTTAACTATCCCCTCTAAGTACCAATTGATAGACTTAACTCTACCTTTAAGAGAGTCCGACCAACAAAAGTTTATACAAAATTAATTATACTCCCTTAGTGTAATAGTATAGGGTGAAGGGAATGAATTTCGTGGGGAAAAACTAGCTTTAAAAAAAATAATGCAAAATTGCATGACACCTAATAAATTTATATTAGCTACAAATTAAATGTATTTCTGATTTTTTTTTTTTTTGGCAATGGCTTAATATAATGATACCAAACAATGCAAAATAAGTAGTAAATTATTGAATTGCTTACAGCCAAGACATTTCCAAGTTTGACTTTGTCTTGGTCTCGGATGAGCCCTTCGTTGTAAGCAGCAGCCGACTGAGCCGTGGCAGCGACACCGCCGGGAGTGATGACGTTAGTGCCAGTAGCCCTAACTTCAGCCGCCTGAATTGCCGCAGCGTCGCTCCTATCCACCGCTTTGTTTCCTAGTGCCTGTGCTGACGCTTCCAGCGCTTGTCCAATCGTGATTCCCGCCTGCAGGGCGCTATTCATGTTTATTCCTCCTCCTGCTTGGTAATTCGGTAATGGCATAGCTTCAACACTCTGTCCAACCACCTGAATATATATATAAATTATTTATCAATACAAAATGTTTTGAGTTAAATGGGCGGCCAGAGTCAAGTCCAAGATCATGTTAAAAAATTATTACACGAAGATGACAAGTCCAACACTTTATTCTAAGAAAATATGTGATAATATAAAGAAATAAAATTAAAAAAAAAAAAAAATATGTGATAATATAAAGAAATAAAATTAAAAAAAAAGCAGTAACTGATTAATTGAGATCGCTTCAAATTGGGTATCTATGTGTTTCCCTGCCAATTCAATAGGTATGTGTTTTCCTTCCCAGCAGTAATCAAAAGACTCAAATTGAGACTAATAATTTTCAATTAATTAGTCCAATTGATAAAGAAGAAGAGAACGAAAAGAGACAGAATCAGACCGATTCCTAAGAAATCTTTTTGGATATTTCTCTCCTATTAGGTAAAATATTTGACAAATAGATTCTATAGTGTAAAAAATTTATTCTTATTAGAAATCAAAGGGCCAGGCTGGGGCATTATTGGGTGAAAATTCATAAGAACCAAGCACAATGTGACTAGAAAAGGAGCCAAGTTTAGCACCATGTATCTAGAAAAATTGTTGGGTAGCTAAGAAAAATGATATATGTACTCCTATGAAGTATAACTCCCATTACATATACAAATTGTATTGACTAAAAAAGGAGCCAAGTTCAGCACCATGTATCTAGAAAAATTGTTGGGTAGTTAAGAAAAATGATATATGTACTCCTATAAAGTATAACTCCCACCACATATACAAATTGTATTGGGTAAATAAAAGTGAATGAATAAATAGTGACCCACTTTATTATTTAAATTTAACCGAAGAACGACGCACCTCAACAGAGAATAAAAAGTGAGAGTACATATGTAATGTTAAAAAATTATTGACAAATGGTTGATAGAGATAAGGAACCAAGTCCAACACTATATGTAGCTAAAAAAGTGTTGGGTAGCTAGAAAAATTGTTGAACGGAGACCATAATGACCAAATTCAACACTATGTGACTAAAGAATTGTTGAAAAAAACAATAATAGGCCCAAAAATGTGTGATCAAATAAAGAAATAAAATTCCACTTTAAACTAATTAAGGCGTAGTTTAGTGATAAGCCCTTGATTAATCAAAGGATACCTACCTATTAACTTTTAACAAATTAAATAGATTAACCGTACCAAAACATAAAGAGGGCGGGTACCTGGCCAGCGATAGATTCAGTGATTATTCGGCTCCCCGGCACGTCAGTTTCCGTCACCGTGACACCCTGCTCGCCGGCAGGGTTACTAACATCATCCGGCGACACAAGACCGGCCCTCACATTAACATTAGCTGCGGCCTGCATGGCTGCGGCTGGACCGCCTTTCTGCGTCTGACCCAGGACCGCCGTTTCGGCGCTCTGCATCATGGCGGCGTCTTGAGGCGCGATGGGCTTGTCGGCCAACTCGCCGGAAACGCCAAACACATCGCCATATTTTACTGGCTCCATCTGTTCTTGCCTCCTAGGCTGTTCTTGACTCATTTTTACGTATACTTTGTCTGTGTAAATTAAACTTTTGTCAAGTCTTGCAGTGTGGAATTAGAAGATGTGGGAAAATTTATACTATTGTTCTAGGGGAGGGTTCCGCCACGTGTGCGTTTGGGGGACACGTGGCGATTTGGGTTTGTGCAAAAGTGGCAGTTTAAAGAGGTGGCAGCTTCTCCTGGAATTTCCTCGCAGTTTCGGAGCAATGGGCGAAGCGGCAGCCACTTTCTAGAACTACAGTACAAATACATTTTGCGACGACAAATTTTCACTCCGTCCCTCGTATATATATGTTTATCCATAGACATTGGCAACTGGTAAAATGTTACACTATCAACCAATTTTAATTTATTTGACAATTATTAATTGTTTGAATTGATTAAAAAATTAATATATATTTTTGATTAATTAGTTTTTTGTAATTCTAAAATGCTAAAATTCAAAAAACTATTCAAAACAATTTTTTTCAATTAACTTTTTGAGAAAATAAATTATAGCAAACAGCTATCAGTTAACAGTTAATTTATTAAATAATTTTCTACGATCAACTAATGTTGTCAACTAATTATACTTTTTAACTAACCCAATCAGCAGTTAAAAGCTAACAGCCATTTACTAAACAGACTTATTGTCTTTTGAGGGGTAGAGTTGGTGACAATGGCTGAAGATGGAGGAATTGAAACTTTAAGAACCATTTACTAACTTAAGAATATTTTCAATTTTCTATGATGTTTATTAGCATAATTTTCTGTTTGGAACCTATCCAAAAATTATTAGAGGAGGTAAATTGCGATTTGCTCAAATAGTCTCTCAATCAGTTCCTATCGTTAATTCTATAAACAAGGAATCAATTTATACACTTCCACCAATTTGAGGAGCTCATTTTAAGATACATCTCATGCATTTTGACATCAGACAGTTCACAAGAGAATTTAATTTGATGAAATTTTTTGAGTTCCAGTACAAGGGAAAATAATAATCTTTCGCCAATAAAATATAAAACTCAAATTTTGACGCCCAACTCAAAATTCCCTTCAAAACAACAACTAGAGTCGATGAGAAGGCGAGTCACATCCTCCTAATTCAAATAGTTTTCAGGACTATTTAGTAAATAGCTTTTATCTGATTAGGTTAACAAATTTGATTAGTTGATATTTAAATAGTAAATTAACTGTTAACAGATAATTGATTACATATAAAATGACTTTTTTTAACAAAATTTATTGAAAAAGTAACTTTGAGCAACATTTTGAATTTTAACATTTTGAAACAATAAATTGTTACAAAAAGCTAATTAATCAAGGGTGTTGCTATTTGCAACCCCTTTGACTAAAATGGGGTAAAAAGTACATTGAAAATATAAAAAGTTAAAAACTTATAATAAATACATAGGTGGTGGAAATAGCCTAATGAGTGATCAAAATGCTATTTGCACCACCTTAATTAAATCACATTTATTATGTTTAAATAATAATTAATTAATTCAAAATTATTTAAAAAAAAAAAATCCCGCCTTCTCCGGTGAGAAGGCGACCCCTAGGTTGCCTTCTAACCGGAGAAGGCAACCCAGTTGCCTTCTCCAGTGAGAAGACATGTCCATAGAAGGCGATGGTTTCCTTCATTGTTTTTTTTTTTTTTTTTGGTTAAACAACCCACTGGGTTGCCTTCTCCGGTGAGAAGGCAACCACTGGGCTGCCTTCTCACCGGAGAAGGAAGCCCAGTTGCCTTCTCCGGTGAGCACGGGATAAGGAGACGGGAGGGAGGGAGGTTTGTATTTTTTTTTTTAAAAAAAATTAAAAAAAAAATGAAAAACAAATAATAATCTTTGACCACATTTAATGCTGGTGGTGTAAATAGTAAATTTGCATTTACACCACCTATAAAGTTATTTGACCTACTAAATAGGTGGTGCAAATAGCAAAACAAGTGGTGTAAATAGAATTTCCCTTAATCGAACACTCATATTAACTATTTAACCAAGTCAAATAGTTAATAGTGGTCAAACAAGCCAAAATTGACTGATAGACTAACTATGTTACCAAACATAACCTTCCAAGGATATTTGGTTCACGGAATGTTAGATTACCTTAGTGAATGTTAGACTACTGAAAATGTTAGATTTCTGTGTTTGATTTAAAACTAAGATATGTAAATAAGACAACGGTAATAAGATAAATTAATTAAAAAATAAAAAGCCCAACATTAGTAACACGAGTACACGACACGGGAATGTAAGATTACCTAAGAAATTAGAGGGTATCTCACATTCCCTTCCAATAGCTAAAAACTTAATGCGAAGGTTATTTGATATTGTCTGAGAAAGTTAAATAACCTAAACCAAACATGAGAATCTTATATTACCAAACAAATATAACTTTGGTTATCTTATATAACATAAACCAAACGCTCCCTCATTATTTAATGAGTTGTTAATAATCTGATAGCTTAGTGATTATTATGGCGAAAGTCGAAAGTAGCTTTTTGCATATATAAAACAGGAAAAGAAAATGGAAACTAGTCTTGCATTTTAGATGGTGATTAAGATATACAAATCAATCCCTACAGAACTTGATCTGAAGCAATGGCCACAAGAAGGAAAGAGGCAATAAGTTGAATGTGATGAGGCATTACTGTTATGGTGTTTCCTCCTGACTGGCTTGTACTTGGAGCTCTATTATTTGTTCCACCTGCTTAAAATCCATTAATTAACATAGATATAATCAATATAAGGAAATCATACACTGGATTCTTCGTTGTTATGTTATGATTTGTGAAAAAATTTAGAAGATTTTTAATCCATAAACTTGGGTGCAAAATTTAGTTAAAAATGGTTCGATCAATCGAACCAAAATAATTGAACGTGTTAACAATTAAGCTGGTAGCAATTTTAACATTTTAAGATTTTCATTCTCAATTTTCAATTAATTCAGTTCAAAAAGATAACTAATCGAAATTTTTAATAAAAATATATAACTCATGTATGTTTATATATACAGCTCTATAGGAAAATATCTTTCCCAAGGCCCTGAGGTATATGAAAGCACCATAAATCTTAACCGGTTATCAGGTTACACTATAAAGTTTACAACCTGTTATTTTTGTAACATTATTATGCATTTTTTTTTTTTGTTAATCTGGTTAGCCAACTAAATTAAACTATAAATTTTGGTTTGACAAAATTCAAAAATAAATGTATAATATAAGTACACTAAATGGTTTTAAAGTACTTTCAAAAAAAAAAAATGGTTTTAAAGTACTGTAAAAAGCATTTAATTCTTATTTATGTCTAATTAGTTTCAAAATAATAAATCAAAAATTAGAAGTATGTGGTTTACTTTACCTGAAGGTGGTGTTGGGGAAGGGGCGGCCGTCGGAGTACTTGATGGACATGGAGACCTAGCCGAGTCATTACCTGAACCAAAAAAAATAAAACATATTATATAATTCAATTTTAACTCAACAAGAATAATTAAAAAAATATATGTTATTTCAATTCACATTCACTTTATTAAACATAATAAATATTATAGTATCAAAAAGTTTATATTCAATAAATATTTAATAAAGTATAATCTCTAAAAAAAAATGAATAATTAACTTTTGACTTTGCTTTTGTTTTGTTTTTTTTTGAAAATTTCACATGGACATTACGTAGAAGCCAGTCATACCTTTGACATTACACGAATAAGGCAACTGGAGCGCCAAGGTGAGGTTTAACAGCGGCACCGGACCGCCGCCGTTCACGACGGCGCAAAGGCAATTAGGCTGAGACAGAAGTACGCCGGAAAACGCCGCGCAGCAACCAGCGGTGGGTGTCGCCTCGTCGGCGATCAGGAAAGGGAGGCACGGTAACATCGTAGCGATCACAGTAATGCACGGATCAGGTGGTTGAACCATGGATTCCCCAATCAAAGCCGCCAACATAATAGCTGCAAAACACAGCCCCATTTTGATTCCCTTTATCCCCATCTCAAACAATTCTTTCACATTTTCTTTAGGGTTTAACAGCAAATGTAATGTGTTATCCAAGATGATTTGTAACGGTGTGCTTTTATTTTTGGTATTAATAGAGAATGGGAGATGAAAGGTCTAGAGCTATTTAATTATGTAGTTTAATTTGCAAAAAAAAAAAAATAAGTAAATAATTGGATCTAGTTATGATGTGTAGTGGCCAGTAATATGTTGTGAACATTAAATTAATTCGTTGAATCTGAAATGATTGTTAGCAAATACGAGTAATAAAAATGAACGAATATCAGTTTAATTTATATGAGAAGTTTTCAATGTGTTATAGCAAATGAGGACTCAATGATTATTCGTTTGCTGGAACCCTATGTAAAAATTTTGATAAATAGGGATCCTGTAAATCTGTAATAACATAATTCAAAGAATAGGCCAGACCGGGTCATTAAATTAAAGTCAGCATTTTATAAAAAAAAAAAAAATTTACTTCAATAATCCTCATTGGAAGAGGCCTAGCATCATTAATAACAAATAGGTATGTCATGGATACGGATCTACCTTGCAAGGTGAATCCTAGTCAAAATACACAATTTATATATTGAATATTCACTTCTCCCAGTTAGCAAAGGGTAGTTGGATCTTTTTTGAGCTTAGGCATCGTTCCCATCACTTGTGTGGGACGGGGAGCCTATTGATGACTATTGAGAGAGGAGGATTGGTGAGAATGAGGCTTTAAGACTAGAAATTACCTAGCAATCCCTTCGAGTGTGAGCTTCGGCCTTTTCACTAGATGATTTAGTACTTAAGAGCTGGGGGCTCTTGGCTTGTAGTTTGGGGGTAACCACTTTTGGGTCACCCCTTGTACATATACATTCGGCCAAAATGGCCATACACTCGTTTGAGCCATAGCTCACTTTTGGGGCTATGGCGTATACTTGTAGACGCTTTGCTTTGCTATATGGAATAAATGCACAGTTCTTTAAAAAATATATATATATATTCACTTCTCCCAAATATTTTGAATATTCACAATTTACCTATTGAATGTTCACAATTTATTTTATATACTAAATGTTCACAATTTAAATTGTAAACATTTAGTATGTAAATTGTGAACATTCAGTATATAAATTATTGTGTATTTTTAGACCCAAGGTAGATCCGGGTCCACAGAATAATTTGACATTAACCATCCTCTCTAGCTCACTCATTGGACTAGCTATTCTTTTGGCTCATTCTCAAGTTGCTTAGACTCTTGGTTTGGTAAACACAATGTTACAAGTTAGACTCTTAGTAGAAGAGTCTTGGCCTATTGATCTCCTTGAATTGATTTGAATCGATCAACTATGATGAGCAATTTAGACTAGTTTATCTTGTGATCCTTTACCGACTAGAATCATAGGGAGATGTTTACCGAGTGTACAATTTCAAATAGTGACTACGAGGTTTCTTCATCAATCAAAAGAAATTAACAATGCTAACAAGGTAAAATACTTGCGGTATTTTAATTTTAAATAGTCGTGTAGAGTGTTTTTATTTGTTTTTAATTGTTAATGGGGGCTTTTAGGGGTTTCTTAATTTATTCTCTCTCTCATCGCTAATATCATGCATGCTTCTTCTGTTTGCCGCCCATCTGTGTTCTATCGTGATCTATTCTTTGCGTTGCTTCAAGCTCCTTCAATCGCGAAGTTCTTGGTTCGTAGTTGCGCTTCTCCAACAATGCAGATGGTACCGCCTGGGGACCACGGTCGAGGCAAGGGGTAGGGTTTTTTCCCCCATTTTTTGTTGTTTTTGTGTTGTTGTTCCCGTTGGTTTTTGACAGAATTGGGTTGGTGTTTTGTAAGAATATTTGTGTTCTCGGTAGTCGCTATGGGGGTGGGGATTGGTTGCCGGATTATTCATTGCATGGGAGTTTTTTAGTAGATTATGGGTATTGGCTTCGGGTTTTAGGGGTGGGGAGGGGGGGGGGTTATTGTTTCGTTGTTTAGGGTTTTTTTTTATTTCGTATTCTTGGCAGATTAATGTACTGCATTTTCTGCCCAATGGGTATTTTTCGTTTTGGTTCTTGGGGGTTTGTTTCGGTATTTACTCTTTTTTTCCCCTAGTCTTGGCAGATTAATGAAGTGCATTTTCATTTGATTTGTTTTTTTTTTTTTTTCTTTTTTTTTTTTTGTGCTCTAGTTACCAACAGTTGTGGGTTTGTGTTGTTTTTTTTTCTGTTTTTTTTTTTTTTTAGTTGGGGGTTTTTGTTTCATACTTCTGTGGTTTGTATGGTAATTGTATTCCTTTTTTTTTTTTAAAGGATAATTGTATTCTTTTTTTTTTTTTTTTGAAAACCAAAGGAACCAAATTTCATTAAATCAAATGTTCAATACAATGCGGAATAGAATTGAAATAACTAAGGGGACCAGAGTATGAACGTGCAGCTCTAGCCAAGGCATGAGCAACTGTGTTCACTGATCTAGGAATAAATTGAAGAGACATAGAATCAAAGTCTCGTTGAAACTTCCGGCACTTGTTGATTATACAACCCGTATAAGTATAGTTAGGCAAAGAGCTTTTAACGAAATTGCAAACCGTTTGGCAATCAGAGAAAACTATTAGGACTCTATGTATATGAGTCTGTTTAGAACTTCTTATCCTTGTCACACTGTGACTCTCTACTTCTTATCATTGTCACACTGTGACTCTCTATTCTATATATTCACATCATCTGATCTCATTGTAATCAAGTTCAGTAAATACAATACAATCAGTTCTCATCTGGTATCAGTAAGCTAGGGTTTTTTCTTTGTCTCTCGTCCCTATGGCTGACGGATCTGTTAATTCCTCCTAACGGACCGTGTCTGATGCTGCTATGTCGTCAAATTCGTCGTCAATTGTGTCGCTATCCACCGCACATCACTTCATCAGTACGAAGTTAACCTACAAGAATTATTTGTTCTGGCGTACGCAAGTCGTCCCGTTTCTTCACGGGCATGACCTAATGGGGTTTGTTGATGGTACGAAACCCTCATCGGCTGTTCTTCTTGCTGCCGACACCGACACCGCCGACGCCATGCCACAGCCGAACCCCGCCTATGCCGTTTGGATGCGTCAAGATCAAGCATTGTTGTCCATGCTTGTCTCCTCCCTCTCCGACGAGGTCATGCCAATCGCCGTCGGACGTCGCACGAGTCGTGCCCTTTGGGAGGCCATTGTTCAGACGTTGTCGTCTTCCTCCCGCGCCCGCGCGTTAAACCTTCTCGGCCAGTTGCAGGGACTGGAACAGGGTGATTCGTCGGTTGCGGATTACATCGGGCGAGCTCAGGTGATTATTGAAGAGCTCACCCTCGCCGGGGCTCGACGATCAGAATCTCTTTGTTTTTCGCGGCTTGTGACCGGAATTCCGTGCGCTCACCGCGTCTCTTGCCGTCTGTGGGCAGCCGGTCACCCTCCAGGAATTGGCGGACTTCCTCGGTGCCCAGGAATTTATCGCCAACCGTGATTACGGCGGTGCTCCGGCGGCTCTTGCTGTTCAGCACGGTGGCGGCCGATCAGGTCGCGGAGGTCAAAACCGTGGTGGTGGTCAACGAGCAGGCGGTGGCAACGGTGGGTCCAATCGTAGTGATGGCGGTAGACAGCAAGGTGGCCGTGGGCGTGGTGGCCGCAGTCGCGGACGCAACAGTGGTGGCAATTAGATTCAGTGCCAGATATGTAGGCGGACTGGTCACGAGGCTCATGTATGCTATAACCGGTATGATTCCCCACCTCAGCCCAATCTAACATATCAAGATAATTCAGATGTTGGTACTCCTCAGACATGGATCCCAGATACAGGGGCAACTAATCATGTTACTCCAGAAATTGCTGCTTTGACCACCTCAGAAGAATATGTTGGCAATGACACCTTGCGTGTCGGTGACGGTATGAGTTTATCTATTAGTCATGTTGGCCATGCTTCTTTTAACACCCCTTCTAGATCATTCACATTATCTGATATACTTCACGTTCCATGTTTGTCTAATTCTTTATTATCTGTTCAGAAGTTTGCATCCGATAATAAAGTTTTTTTTTTTTTGCGTTTCACCCCTCTTTTTTTGTTGTGAAGGATATCAATACCAAGGAAATACTTCTTCGGGGCAATAGTTCTGGGGGACTATACACACTTCCATTACCTAGTTCGTCTCCGTCAGCTTTTCTTTCCGCTTGTGCCTCGGCTTCCACTTGGCACAATCGTCTGGGTCATCCTCATAACCGTGTTCTTAGCCATATACTTCGATCTTGTTTAGTTAGTGAATCTCGTGATAATATTCGTTGTACTAATTCTTTATGCAATGCGTGTCAATTAGGCAAATCTGCCCATTTTCCCCTCCCTCGTGTTGCTTCCTCTAGTTCTCATGTACTAGATCTAATTTACACAGACATTTGGGGTCTTGCGCCCACTTTATCTACATCTAGCTTCCATTACTTTGTGATCTTTGTGGATGACTATTCCCATTATACATGGTTCTTCCCTATGAAATTAAAGTCTGATCTCTATGTCATCTTTGATAAATTTCGTACTCTTGTTGAGCGGTCCTTTAATTGCAAAATAAAGGCCATTCAGTCTGATTTAGGTGTTGAGTACAAAAAGTTGCATTCTTCGTTTGTTCAATTAGGAATTCAACACAGACAATCCTGTGCCTATACACCTGAACAGAATGGTCGTGTTGAACGAAAACATCGTCACATTGTTGAAACTGGTCTGGCTCTTCTAGCTCATGACTCTGTTCCTTTGAAATTTTGGGATTTTGCCTTTGAGACTGCTGTCTATTTAATTAACAGAATGCCATCTTCTGTATTAAATAACTCCAGTCCTCATCTCCTGTTACATAAATCCCATCCTTCCTATCTTTTTCTTTGTGTCTTTGGGTATTTATGCTACCCTCATCTTCGACCATATAATCGTCATATGATGTCATACAGGTCTTCTCCATGTGTCTTCCTAGGTTATCCTGAGTCATTTAGGGGGTACAGATGCATGGACTTACATACTAATAAGATTTACACGTGCAAGCATGTCAGATTTGATGAAGAAGTTTTTCCCTTTGCTACTAAAACTTCTTTGCAGGATCTATCTACTCCGTTTTCTGGACCTTGGGCGGAATCTGTTCTCAATCACAGCACACCTATTCCTGTCGTGTCCAATGATGAGCTGCCAGAACCGCCGCTACCTGCTTCATTCGAACCAGCCGTGGATCCCGGACAGGCTGCCTCGTCGGGTGATCCTGTGGAGCCTGTTGCTCATCGGCGAGGCCGTCCACGTGGGCGGTCCATCAGGCCCAATGTCCATACTCACTCTATGGCCACTCGCAGTAACGCAGATGCTCCTCTTTTTGCTCTAGCAGCTCAGTTGCATCCCACGGAACCCACATGTCACTCTCAAGCTGTCAAATATCCTGAGTGGTGTGAAGCCATGGACCAAGAATTCAATGCTCTCCTGCATAACCACACATGGTCTCTAGTTCCACCCACTGCAGGTATGAATATATTGGCTGTAAATGGGTGTTTCATACGAAGAGAAAGGCTGATGGTGCTATTGAAAGGCATAAAGCCAGGCTGGTTGCGAAAGGTTTTAATCAGGTTCCAGGTCAGGACTTCTTCGAAACTTTTAGTCCAGTGGTAAAGCCTACGACTGTAAGACTCCTTCTATCTCTAGCTTTATCATCTGGGTGGTCTATCAAACAGCTAGATGTTCATAATGCTTTTCTGAATGGTAATCTGGCTGAAACAGTTTATATGAAGCAACCCCCTGGTTATATTGATGCTAACTTCCCAAATCATGTTTGTTTGTTAAAAAGATCTCTGTATGGGTTAAAACAAGCTCCCAGAGCTTGGTTTAATCGACTACATACGTTCTTACTATCGGTTGGCTTTCAAGCATTCAAGACAGATGTCTCTCTGTTCTATTACTCTAAAGACTCTGCTTTGGTTTATCTCTTGGTGTACGTGGATGACATTCTTGTAATGGGAAGTGATCAGGGTATTATGTCTCAGCTCTTGTCCAAACTGTCTGCTACATTAAAAATCAGAGATCTTGGTGAACCAAATTTCTTTCTGGGTATTGAAGCAGTTAAGAGTGACAATGAGATTATTTTATCTCAACAACGGTATATGAATGATATTTGAAAACGAGTTGGAATGTCTGAATGCAAACCCCTTTCTACACATATCTCTGTCTCGAAAACTGTCCCCTTCAATTCAGATCTATATGATGATCCCACACAGTACAGGAGTTTAGTTGGAGCACTGCAATATCTCACTGTCACACGACCTGACCTATCCTTTGCAGTTAATCAGTTATGCCAGCATATGCATGTTCCCACCATATCACACTGGGAGCAGCTCAAACGGGTACTCAGGTATGTTAAGGGAACAGTTTATCATGGTTTACGCATATGACTGTGTTCATCTAGAGATATTCATGCTTTCTATGATTCTGATTGGGCTGGTTGTCCTGACGATCGAAAATCCACGAGTGGTTTTGCTGTTTTCTTGGGGAGTAATCTTATATCATGGGTTTGCAAGAAACAGAGAACTGTTGCTAGGTCATCCACTGAGGCTGAATACAAAGCTCTTGCAGATGTTTGTGCTGAGGTTCTATGGATTATGTCATTACTGCGTGAGGTAAAGATTCTGGGTATTTCCATTCCAAAATTATGGTGTGATAATCTAGGAGCTAAATATATGAGTGCCAATCCAATCTTTCATGCGCGCACCAAGCATGTGGAGATTGATTATCATTTTGTTCGTGATCGAGTAGCTTCGGGCGATATCCAAGTCAACTTCATCTCCACAAAAGATCAACTTGCTGATATCTTCACCAAAGCTCTGCCTGGACCTAGATTTTCATCCTTAAGGGACAAGCTACAAGTTACTAGTATACACTGTGCTTGAGGGGGAGTATTAGGACTCTATGTATATGAGTCTGTTTAGAACTTCTTATCCATGTCACACTGTGACTCTCTACTTCTTATCATTGTCACACTGTGACTCTCTATTCTATATGTTCACATCATCTGATCTCATTGTAATCAAGTTCAGTATATACAATACAATCAGTTCTCATCAAAACGATAACCTTCACAAAATTCAAATCTTTAGCCCAGGACAAGGCTTCCTTAACCGCCATTGACTTCGCGAGGTGAACATCAAGTAAGAAACTCATAGGTCCATGGCGAGCTGCTACATACACACCGCTTGAATCCTTAATGAGAATTCCATAGCTAGCCTCATTAGTTTCTAGGAACACCGCAGCATCAACAAAAATCTGCATTGTATCATTGGGTTAAGCCCTGAACAGTCCGCTGCAAAGAATGACGTCTATCACCACCACCAGCCAACGTTTCTCCCAATTGAAACCATTCATGCATGAGGCGGGCAATTTCTATTTTGATTTGCGCTGCCAGCCATAGCTTATGACTCCATACTACAGCATTCCTTCCACGCCAGATGCTCCACCAAACATCAATGCAATTCAGCTTAGCAGACATATCAGTGTTGGATAGGCATCTTATAAACCAGTCGGCAAAATCGTCATGGTGGTCCGGCAAGGATATTGAATTCTGCCAAAGTGGAGTGGTCTCAGAACACTCACAAAAAAGGTGATGCAACGTTTCTGGTGATTGCCTACATAACAGGCATAACACATCGACCTCCACTCCTCTATTCTGCAAGGCAACCAAGGTAGGAATAACTCCCTGTAAGTAACGCCACAGAAAATTCTGCACGCTAGGTGGAACCTTAGTACGCCATATATGTCTCCAGCAATGATGATTAGCTTTATTTTCATTGTTTTATAAAATGCAGGAGCATCCTATTAGAATATAGAATTATTTGAATGTTAAGTTGTTCTGACTAATAATTGACTTTAAAGCCTAGGTAAGGTGGGTTCGTGGAATGTGGATTACTATTTGTTAATTAGTTGTTATTTGGAATTATATGAAATGGTTAAACCTTTAGGACTAGATAAATTAAATACGAGGAGTTATCATTTCATATTGGATTAATACGATGTGTTATGAAAACAATGAATTATTCTTTACCAATCTATTGTGTGTATTTGAATTGTCTTTTTGAATTCGTGCGTGGTTGATTTTTCCTTGCGTGTTGGCTTGTTGCTATAGGTAAGAAAACAAGGTATCGCATTCAAAAACTGGTGGCTCGAGGGATTCTGATATTGACGATGATTTTGTGGTGCCACCTTTGGCGTTCCTTGCGAGGCTGCAACAAGACCCTATGTGGAATGCGCCAGATTATGAACTCATTGTGGAAGAGGTCAAATGAGAGTGTGGCCTTACCAAAGGTGATAGTACTAAGCTGCACTAGCTCAGGTTGCATTACATGAAGGAAATTGCAATCTCTGAGTTCAATCTACACAAAAGTAGGAACCTGTCTCAGGCGTTTTAGTTTATTTTTACTCCGTTGGATGCTATTTAGATAAGAGTACCCTATTCCAGTTTATGACTTCGTTATGATTACTTAGTTTTTTAGGATAACTATACTGATGTTGGGTTTGGTTGGTTGTTGGCGTAGGTTGTTTAGTTTTGACATTTGCACCACCCTTCTACCTACTGTTTATCATTTGGTGTTAGGGTGATGAGTGAATAATTGTCGTCGATTCAAACTACGATAAGTTACAGAGATACAAAAGGAGATTAGAGTCCTATCTAACTACCTCTATACAATAGCTATCAGTTACAGGACTAATTCAACTATAATAATAATACAAGCTAAGTTACATAATAAATGAATAAGAAATATAACATTACTAACACTCCCCCTCAAGCTGAAGGTGGTGTGCACACAACACTAAGCTTTTCCCGCAGCGAGGTGAAGCGAGCTGATGGCGGTGGTTTGGTGAAGACGTCAGCTAACTGGTCATTGGTGGAGATGAAATTAACCCGGAACTCCTCTAATGCTACCTTATCTCGAATAAAGTGGTAGTCAATCTTGACGTGTTTCGTCCGAGCATGAAAAACAGGATTTGCGCACATATAAGTGGCGTCCAAATTATCACACCATAGAGTCGCAGGATTCCTAAAGTGTAGACCAAGCTCCCGAAGTAGGGATACAACCCAAGTAACATCTGCAGCTACATCGGCTAGGCCCTTATACTCAGCCTCGGTGGAGGACCTAGCCACAGTTCACTGTTTACGAGAAAACCAAGAGATCAGATTCGTCCCAAGGAATACAGCATAACCATTAGTGGACTTACGATATACCGGACACCCAGTGCAGTCCGAGTCAGAGTAAGCATGGATGTCGGAGGAAGGTGACGTAGCCAGTTTCAGACCATACGCTTGTGTGCCCTTCACATACCGAAGGACCCGTTTAAGCAAACCCCAATGCTCATCAGTCGGAGTGTGCATAAACTGACAAAGCCTGTTGACGGCGTAAGACAGATCCGGACGAGTGATAGTGAGATACTGTAGGGCCCCAGCTAACCTACGATACTGAGTAGGATTCTCATAAGGGCTCGTGACTGGAGATATGGCCTGTGTGACCGCAGCTGGAGTGGACAAAGGTTTACAGTCAGTCATGCCTGCGCGAGTCAAAATATCGGCCATGTAACGCCGTTGGGAGAGCAGAACGCCATCTTTCAGCGGAATAGTTTCAATGCCGAGGAAGAAAGTGGGAGTGCCCAAATCTCGGATCTTGAAAGTGGTAGATAGCTGGTTGAGAAGTGAAAGAAGTAGTTCTGTGTCGTTGCCAAGCATGATGATATCGTCCACATAAACGAGCAGGTAAACCCGTGATGTGCCTCGTGTGTAGTAAAAAAGCGAGACATCAGTTTTGGATGCCATGAAACCTGTAGTCAAAAGAAAATCATGTAACCGCTTAAACCAGGCACGTGGGGCCTGTTTAAGACCGTAAAGAGACCGTTGGAGACGACAGACATAATCCGGATGGGTTGGGTTCTCATACCCCGGCGGTTGTCGCATATAGACTGTTTCTGCCAGATGCCCATTTAAGAAGGCATTGTGAACATCCAGCTGCTGCATAGTCCAGCCCCGTGATATAGCAAGGGCGAGCAATATGCGAACCGTGGTTGGCTTGACTACTGGACTGTAGGTTTCAAAGAAGTCTTCACCAGCGACCTGATTGAACCCTTTTGCCACTAAGCGAGCTTTGTAACGCTCTATAGCACCATCGGCCTTCCGTTTGGTGCGGTAGACCCACTTGCAGCCAACTACATTTATACCGGGATTGGCCGGGGTGAGACACCATGTATTATTATTCAAGAGTGCATTAAATTCCTGATCCATAGCATCCCTCCACTGTGGGTGTGCCACGGCCTGAGTGTAGCAAGTTGGATCAGTTGAGGCGGTTAGAGCTTGAAAGGGCTCGTCTGTGCCTCGTGTCATGTGCCGGAGTCGCATGACATGACCCCGATCCTGGGGTTGTGCTGTAGCTTGGGCCCGGGCTCGGGGCTTACGCCGTGGGGCCACTCTGTCGGCCGACTGTTGTTGTATCGCCAATGGTGGCACCTGGACCGCCAGAGGAGGCTCATTAAGCGGTGCGGCTTGTGGCAGCAGAATTATGGGACCCGACTCCCAAGGGACGGTATTTGGAGTGCTCTCAGTCTCGCTTTGCTCATATGTACCTGTGGCATAGGGAAACACACTTTCGTCAAACCAAACAAGGCCACAGATAAAGGTCTTCCCAGATACTGGGTCCACGCGTCGGTACCCACTATAAGACATAGGATAGCCTAGAAAGACATAGGGTGCAGAACCATACTCTATCTTATGGAGATTGTAGGGCCGTAGATAAGGGTAACATCTGCACCTAAACATGCGAAGGAAAGTGTATGGCGGAGTTTTATTATAGATAGACTCATAAGGACTGACAAAATTGAGTGCAGACGACGGGAGACAATTTATGAGATAGGAAGTTGTTTCAAACGCGACGTCCCAGTGTTTGATGGGGACTGAGCTGTCAGCGAGTAAAGCTAACCGGTTTCGACAACATGCCTATTCCGACGCTCTACTCAGCCGTTCTGCTCATGCGTATAGGCGCAAGATTGCCTATGCACAATGCCAAGAGATTGAAAAATTGAATGCAGACGGCGATATTCGCCTCCGAGATCGGACTGTATAAACTTGATAGAACGCGAGAATTGGCATTCTACCATGACACGGAAAGAATCAAAAATTTTATAAATATCTGATTTTAACCGCAAAGGGTAAAACCAGCAAAAACGTGTGTGGTCGTCAACAAAAAGAACGAAATATCTAAAACCCCGGCACAAACAACGGGTGTCGGTCCCCAAATATCAGTATACAGCAAGTCGAGTACATTATTACTAGAGGAAAGAACCCTATCTAGTGGGAAACGAGACGATTTCCCGAGTTGATACGACGAACACAACTGCGGCATACTTGATTTGGATTGTGTGACCGGGCATTTTTGTAAGACACGGATTTGGGCACGTTTATGCGGATGTCAAAGCCTGTGATGCCAAACATCAGGTGGCGCACGAGCGGTTATTAACGCAACATGTGACCGAGACATGGGTAGCTTGTACAATCCCCCCGTGGTAGGACCCCTAAGGAGCACCGCCTTGGTGTGACAATCCTTCACAACAAAATGATCACGGTGAAATTCAAAGTAAACATCAATGTCAATTGTAAAGCGATTAACAGACAATAATGGTAAAGAAAGACAGGGGACATGTAATATATTGTTTAATTTTAAAGTTCTAGACAGAGAGTTTAGTGATGCATGGCCAATACTGGTTATAACCAAACCTGACCTATTGCCCACGCGGAGGACATCACCGCCGGAGTAGAGGTCGGATTGCGCCATCATCGACTGATCGAGTGTAGTGTGTGACGAAGCCCCAGTGTCCGGGTACCATGCGTCTGCCTCCACTGCGCCATCATCACCGGGGACTGCCGCGTGAGCCTGCGGCTATAGTGCGCCGGCGTAGCGCTTGAAGCAATGGAGAGCCGTATGTCCGTGCGAGCGGCAGATTTGGCACCTCGGACCGCCACCACCACGGCCTCGGCCTTGCCCTCCACGTCCACGGCCGCCTCCCCGACCTCGCCATTGTCCAGAACCAGCGTGCCGGGGACCTCCGCCTGCCGCCTGATTCTGTGCGTAGCCGCGACCAGCAACCATCATCGTGTGTGGCCCGCCGGCTGATGGACCACCGGCAAAGGAGAATTCATCTGCCCAGATGAATTCTTGGGCCTAGAGATAATCCGAGTGCTGAGGTATCGACACCGGTGCGCCGGACACCGCGAGGGACGACGCCATCGACCGGAACTCTGGCTGGTCTCCACGGAAAACCCAAAGGTTTTGTGCATCAAGCGAGACCGGACGACCGGCCAACGCAAGATCCTCCACCAACAGCTGTGCTCGGTCGAGGTATTCTGCGGGGGTGTTGTCTCCTTGTCTGAGCGACTGGAACTGAGCGAGGAGGTTTAGACACCTCGCCCGAGTCGATGAACCGAGCGCCGCCGTAATGGACGTCCAAACTTCTTGCGACGTCGTGCGGCCGACGGCGAGGTAAAGAACCTCATCGGCCATCGAGGACACGAGGAGTGACAGGATCGATTGATCCTGTTGCACCCACACGCTGTGCGCCGGATTCACTATAGTTTTCGTTGTCGTGGCGTCGGAAGCAGCTTCGCCGGATGCCGGAGTTTCGAGAGTAGCCGGCGGACATGGCGTGTCGCCGGTGACGAATCCAAGAAGGCCTTGCCCACATAGAAAGGGTACTAGTTGAGTGCGCCTGAAGAGGAAGTTTTTCGTGGTCAGCTTCATGGATATAAAATGGTGAGCCAAGGCTAGGGTGTTGGGGGTGGACGGGGGTGGTGGTGTAGCGGCGGTGACCGTTCTTTCGCTAGAGTTTGTCGACATAGTTTGGGAAGGAGAGAGAGAGAGAGAGAGATCACCTAGCTAACTGATACCAGATGAGTGAATAATTGTCGTAGATTCAAACTGCGTTAAGTTACAGAGATACAAAAGGAGATTAGAGTCCTATCTAACTACCCCTATATAGTAGCTATCAGTTACAGGACTAATTCAACTATAATAATAATACAAGCTAAGTTACATAATAAATGAATAGGAAATATAACATTACTAACAAGGGTGACTTGTTTTTTGACATATGTTATTACCCTGTTATTTTGGTCGGTGCATTAATCTTCTCTTGGCGATGTATGTGGTGTACAGTTTTGTGCACAATGTAGCTTTGTAGAGCAACAATACTCTTGCAACCTTGTTCATGCACACACATGAACATCAGAACGCACATAGTACTAAACTAGTCTTTTCAATACTGTCTATGTTACTCATTTCTTCTGATTGCCTGTGCACACACCTAAATGCCAGTATGCACACACAGCAAAAGTATAACCAAGGCACTTATGTTAGTGCACAAAGAGGAGAATTGCAATTCACACAGTACTAAATGGATATTTGTGTTTCTACTTTTGTAATCTGGATCTTTGAACTGCTTATGCACACACCAATAAGCCACCGTGGACACCCAGTGTCTCTTGTTCGTTAATCACGGTTTGAATACTATTAGTATAATAACTTAACTGTAAACCTTTTCAAAAAAATTGTAAACAATTAATGCTCTTGATCGTCCCGTATGTTGCAACAAAAGTTATTACATCCCCAAACTATGCAGTCTTTGCAAATATGCTCCTAAATTTGCCCAAAAGCCATGCATAAGAGTCTATGTCTTCTTTAACAATAAGGCCCACTCCAAATGTAATTGACTTCTTGTCGTTATCCACCTCATTGAATGGGACAAAGACTAATTTGTATATGTATGAAGACCACGTCAATTTTGTTAGTGCACACACTTGAGTAATAAAATGCACACTGTACTGTACGGATATTTAGTACGTGCACACACGGAAATATTCAGATGCACATAGCACAAAACGTGGAAATCCAATTCTGACTATTATTTCGCTCTTAGATCAGCGTGTGCATTCACTAACCAGCTAATGTGCACACACAGTAACTCATGAATGTGAAACACGAATTAAAAAATAGTTACTATAATAACGTCCATATGAAGAAATGTCCATTACACATTCATCTATCCCACCAACATTTTGCTCGGCACCTGTGAGCCGCACCAACCAAGCATATCATCACCATATTGTTATTGTATTTATGATTTTGATAAAACGTCACTCTGCATGACTTCTAAACACATATATCCGGCCATGAACGCACACAATAAGCACTTTAATGTCACTTCTCTTGTTCGACAACTACTAACCTACCATGAACGGGATTCCATTTCTGTGTAAACATTGTGTGGCATGGGGTACGACGTGTGTGCACTCCAGAATTAGGATATGTGCATGGCATCCGTTATCACACCCTGAATTTAGATTAGTCAAGAATTTCTATATCTTTTTGTTTATTCAGTTGATTACCCATGGTTACACCCAGTTTTGACTATTCCCTTTTCTACATGTGTACATACCTTACCCCCCTGGTCATGCAACCCCCCGCATGATCAATTTCCCATCCTATCTTCATGTTCTTGTTTTCTTAAATCTTAAAAACCTTCCCACGTTTGATTTACAGTAAACAATGCAAACTCATGTACCAATTTTAACACTACTTCAATCGGACCGGAGTGCTTACCCGTTTCTGCCGTAGCCATCTTCGATTCACGTTGTTCCTGGAACGCTCATTGTGCAGTCTTCGTCCGCCGCCTTACGTATTACAGAGGAAAATTTGAATCCTTCCACTACTAAAATTCGTAGAGAATCCTTTGTGATATTGTCTTCTAATATTATATCCTTATTTAAATTTGCATGCTTTGCCTTTTTTTTTTACCCCTTCTTAAAATTTCAATCATAAAAGCTACCTAATGACCCTCTTAATCTTAGCCGCCCAACCATTTAATCCCATGGTCCCATTTTATCCACAAGTTTGTATTTTAAGGGTGTTTGCATGTGAATGCAACACTATATATATATATATATATATATATATATATATATATATATATATATATATATATATATATATATATATATATATATATATATATATATATATATATAAAGGATCAAGTGAAAAAGAAGCCTTAGGTGAAAAATAGGATGTAATCTCATCTATTGAATTAGATCAGATCAACGTCCAGAATGAAGCAATTAAAAAAAAACGCAGTGGAATTATTGTACTAAAGAGCATAGGTGATCGTTATATATACTTTTAAAGAGCATTAGATCTTGAATGAATCACTAATTACTAATTTTAGTTGAATACTGTGATCGTTTATGATTAGTGTTCGTTGAAGATCATGCTTTATATTTAGTCTTTTCAATAATTATTTCATATTTTCTACCTTGCCATGCACATTTTTTCCTTTTCAGAGTTCCAATGCACATTGTCCCTTCTTCCAGAGCACATTGTTATGTCTTACAGTGTACATTGTTGTGCCTTCAACCTTTAAACCATACCATGCACATTTTTGCCTTTTCAGAGTTCCAGTGCACATTGTCACTTCTTCTAGAGCATATTGTTGTATCTTACAGTGCACATTGTTGTGCCTTCAACCTTTAAACCTTACCATGCACATTTTTGCCTTTCCAGAGTTCTAGTGCACATTGTCTCTTCTTCTAGAGCACATTGTTGTGCATTATAGTGCATATTGTTGTGCCTTAAACCTATAAACCTTACCATGCACATTTTGTCTTTCTAGAGTTCTAGTGCACACTGTCCCTTCTTCCATAGCACATTGTTGTGCCTTCAATCTTTAAGATCGTAGGTGTTATATATATATATATATATATATATATATATATATATATATATATATATATATATATATATATATATATATATATATATATATATATATATATATATATATATATATATATATATATATATATATATATATATTATGCAACAATTTATTTATGCCGATGATTTTTCCATGGCGGGTGCGGCGAATGTGGATGGATTGCCCACGGCGATGTACGCTGGTCGTGGCAGTCAGCAACCGGGAGATAGTGGATCAAGTAGTCGCGGTGGCGGCCAGAGGCAAGGGCGAGGTCGCGAAGGATAGGGACGTGGGTGCGGTAATAGAGCTCCCCGGTGCCAGATCTGCCGGTCTCACGGACACACTGCCGTCTACTACATTACGTGGTACACAACGCAACCACCAGCCCAGGCGAACGTCGCTGTTGTCGAAGATGCAGGAGCCACTGCCACCATCGATGCATGGTATCCGGACACCGGCGCCACCTCTCACACGACACTGGACGCGTCGATGATCGGGAAGTCCGAGGATTAAACT